TATTTTAAATAAAGATGAATAGTAATGATTAATAGCACAGATTAACAAATAACTTTTAAGAATACATAATATATCAAAATAGTTAAAAAGCTAACAATAGCACTAACCTATCAATGCGTTGTAACACTGTTAACTTGCTTCGCCTCGTGCAGCTATTAATCAATACAAAAGTACAACTCACTCTTAACATTGATAGGAAACCAATAAATCCCTCTATAACCTACGACCTATCCATCAGTCAGACAAACTATTTCCACTGTTGAACACGACACGATGAAAGACATTAAAACCCACATGGCGTTTATTCACTGGCTGTATTATTTCAATCGTTGAGAAAAACTCCCTTAACGTTACTCCTTTAACACATACGAGTAAAATAAAATTTACTAGAATAAACTTTGTAGTTATGTATCCCAAATAAAATATTCTTATGTTATTCTCAAAAAAACACATACAAAATACTGTTCTGATCTGTTTCACGAAGATCACACAACTAAATCTTACCAAACCGATGTATGAAAAATTATTTATAGCATTTAAAAGTGAGGCGATTTAACTAAGATTAATTTACTTGATTGTTGTCTATTGATTGATGATTAGAGAACTATAACGTGAGGTAATGGATAAGTGCAATGGGCGTACCAAGATGAAGATTGATTGCAAACGGCACGTGGTCGCCCTGTCCGCGCGACCGGAGATCCGAACTGATAAATGTTCTCAGTTGTTGCAATGTCAGCTAAGTTTTTTGGTTTTTATTAACTCTTTTTCTCAGTAAAGAGTACAACTTTATTCCACTTATCACAGAAACGAACATTTCTCAGGATTTTGTAAACTTAAAAGCATTATTCTACACGGACCATATACGAGTGAGACACGAGACATTGCTATCTCTGTCTATCAAAAACAAAAGAAAAGACATTATTACAAACGTTATTTTAATTTAATAGAAAAACTAAAATACGTAGAACCATAAGTTAGCTTAAGTTTAGCTTCAATAGAAAGCAAAACAGAACACCTTACTAGTTGAAAATGTACGCAAAAAAATCGAAAAAAACCGTTTTCCACTCGACGTAGTGGAAACAAGTCAGATAATGTCAAAACAACAACAGGCAGGTGCGCAAGAGGAAAATAGGAAAATGCTTCGGAAAAAGATTTTGAATCCATGAAGCGGCCGAGCTTGAAAAGAGAGGTAATGTAATAAAGTCGCGTATTGATGCAACAATGCATTTTTACTAGTGTAATAAAAACTAGCTGTTGCTCACGACTTCGTCCCCGTAAAATAAAAAAAAATAAATCCTGTGTTCTCTCACTGGTAATGTAGCTTTTTAATGGAGAATTTATGAAATCAGCCCAGTTGTTTTTGAATTATTTCAACACACACAAAAATACAAACATTTCCTCTTTATAATATTAGTATCGATATAGATAACGGTATAATCTACTTGGTAAATTTTTCGTAGAATAAAATTAAAAAATATTTTTAGGAACTTTGCTTATTTTTAGTTTGGTTTTCAATATTGTTTAATGCAATTGATGCTACTTTCTTGTCCCAAACGCCCTTAACACATTAACCGCCACTATGCTTCTTTCTTATAATTCTAAACTTGTTAATAATCGTAATTTATAGAATTCTTGTTGAATTAAAATAGCCGGTAAAGTTTTTTTTTCTACAAATAGTCATCAAGTTCCACCTAAATATTGTTTGCTTTGAATTATATTTTTTCTCGCCCTCTCAATGATATTGAAGAAATACAAAAATAAATGAGGCAATCCAATTCCGCCTCAGACAGGACTTGTTATTTACCTTCGCAAACTTTATGTCTCGGCCTGGCTCCGCGTAGTTTAAATTACGTCCACGCCATCTCTCCGAGAAAAAAAAACAACTATTTCAAATTGCTCTCACCTCATACTTATTCTGTTTTCATATTAGTAACTTGTGATCCTGATAAAACAAAAAAATAAAATCTAAATAATTTTGGATTTACGTTCAAATCAAATACTTAAATGGATTTTAACTACCAAAAAACCTTTTTTTTAATACCTAAAGGTTTTTGGCAATGGAAACAGAAACAAATTGATCTTTTGATTTATTTTTAGTAAGAAAAAGTCAATACTGTTAAAAAACCATTCAATATCTTGGAAGTAGACCTAATGTTCCCGAACTAATTAAGAGTTTGCGTTAATCTCATCATCATTTCGAAATTAGTTGGCGCCGCCTTGAATACTAAAGTAAAACTGGCTCGATATGAAATGCGAGGCACGCCGCGGTATCTAATTAGCATGACGTGACGTCACCTCCCACTGAATACCGAGAATTTCTTTTATTGTTCGTAAATTAACCATAATATTGTTTAACAGTTATCGAATTTTATAAGCATTGTATTAAGAATAAAAAATGTATGAATATATCATTATTTTGTTAGCCTGAAAGTTATTTAAACAAGTGGTAAAACAATGTGTTTTTAAATTATTTCGTTTTCATACGTTTCGAAAGTGCAAATCCAACAAACCTTCGCCTTTGACGGAGTCTTCGTCCACGTCTCGCCTAGTCTACGTGTTCTTCCAAACTAAGGTGTACATCTGTGCCAAATTACATCGAAATTCGTTAATCCATTTTAAAGATGTAGTAACAAACATCCATCCATACTTTCGCATTCACATTTGTATGAAGTTTGTTAATTAAGGACAAAAATTAAATCGATCTCATGCTGGTTACATAGAATCGAAAATCCAAAACAAACTAGCACAGAGCAAGGGGCCTTACGCCACAAACAAGGATTAAAAGTTTAAATTATTTCAGCAGGTAACTTGTTCTACCGGCTAACAGATTTCCCGCGCAAACTACCCGCTCCGACCATACTGTATAATCCGCTTGTTAATTTTGTCTATAACTTTCAAACCTTTTATACTCTGTAATCTCATTCATAACTATAAAGCTACATACGCTCAGTTCTATCATTTTTAACTGAACACCTGAAATGTTTAGTAAAAACTGCGTGTGTAGGAAAAATTTTAAATGTCACTTGAAGTGTTCAGTTAACATTTTGCGTACTTTTCTGTACAATTCATGTTTTTTGCTTTAAACAGAACAAGATAATGGTGAAGTGTTTGGGATACTTCCAAGACAGTCGGTTTTTGCATTTTATCCTGTCGACTGCGACTAGTGAGATCCAATCTTTGTTTACTTATGCAATGCTTTAGTATTAAGTCTATTTGTAGCATTGTGCCAAGTCAGTACAGTCCTCAACATTAACCCTCAGATCGGTTCAGAATAATTGTATTTGTCTGAAGTATGACATTTCAAGTCCTAATTTTTCAATTAATCATGCTTAACACTTTGAGTTTTATTACTTTTATTTATTTATTTATTACGTAATTTACACTAAAAGATAAATCGGTGGCACTGAAACGTGTTAACTGCCATTAACATAAATTTCACACCATCCGTGAGAAACATTCTGTACTTTACGCAAATATTATAAATGAAAAATGTAATAACAAAACCCATGTCCAAAACAGACGTAATATTAAAAAGAAAACATATTCCACAGTCATTCATCAAAACGTTTTCAGATTAGTGGTCATAATCGAATCCTTTCAGAGCAACGTACAATTCGGGGAGTTCCCGCCAAACCCACATCACAGACACAATACGAGCGACGTTTACAAACCGATGTCGTAACTTTGAAAAAAAAAAACATAAGCACGTTGACAAATTGAAATGTTTTTTACACCCAACCAATTCTAAATGTACATGGTGTTTATTTTTTGTCTTCAAAATATTATAATCTGTGTTATTATAAATTAATAAAATGGTACAAATTTAGCCGATAATAACCTCACCTAGGTGAGACCACGAATTAAAAAATAAACTATCCGAGTTAAAATGGAAATATTTTAGAAAAAAATGTAATCCGTTTGCTCGGGACGAGTGGAGCGGATGCAGTACGCTGGCACAAGCAAATTAGTTCCCAGTTAACTTCTGTCTCCGAGGAAGTTAAATTAGCTTCGAGACTTCTGCGCTTTTTATTTTTTTTATATGTACAAACTAAACATGTCTCATTCTCAGCTTTCAATAAGTAGTAAATGATAAGAAGGCTCAGGCGTATAAGAGTCCCTCTATGATCGTCGACCTAAAGTTTGTATGACGATCATGCTGAGATCTATTTGTATCGGATACAATAATATCTAACAATCTATGATATATCTACTTAGTACCACAATGTCTGTAAAAAAGTTTAAAAATAAAGTAAAACCCATTTCTCCATCGTAGCTGTTTTTCTTTTTTGTATACCTGTACAGAAAAACTTAAATATAAAAGCAATGAATATTTGAAAAGTAATCTACTCTCCAAGATTCGCGGAGAGGCAATACGTTTGCACAGGCAAATTAGTTGCTAGTTCTGTCAGAACGGAAGTTAAATTGCCTCCTCGACTTTTGCGCTTCTTTAATTTCTGTTGCCAACAGAGTTATGGCAAGGAAATTACTTTATACCCAGACGTATTCTATGATTTGTATATCGTACAAGTGCGTTATTGTCACGAATATTACTATAAACACCTATTGGATTTAGATACTTTAGTACACAACAATGTAAAGATATTTTAAAATTTTGCGCCTTTACCGAACGTCGCATCACGCATAAAAAATTGTTTCTGCAATTCGAATTTTGTATTACAAGCTTGGTCATGGACGTAAAATAATAAAATCATCAACTTTAGGTCTTAGTTGTTGTAGAACAAAGAATTGAGTTATACTATATTTTACTGTATTTAAAACACCGAAGCTTTATAGTTCCTAAATATTCTATAAGATGCTTCGTAGTATAATGCTTTTTTCTTATACGTAATTGTTAAGACCTTTTAAAATCCAACCGGTTGAACAAAATTCGATTTGCAATTTTCAAATTATTTGAGATCGTTTGGTAAATCGTTTTATGAGAAACTTAAAATTTGAGAGATCGCTAAATTATTTTAATTGCATATTTGTAGACTTGGTAATTAATTTACTATCAATTGAATTAAAATGAACCCATTGCGACACTGTTATAAGGTTGTTTTGAAGTTCCATATACTTTGACTTCTGACGGGACAATTAAAAAAAATATTGACAGCAACCAAATTCCAAATTGACAAGTGAATGAAAATGAAAACTTAAATCAAAGTAAAATGAAAACAAGATTATAACATAGTGTGTAAAATAAGTTATAATAACCAATGTTATTGTTAAAGGTGCGCTTTGGGACTAAAAGTTACACAAAACCTTTGTTTCTTTGTTATGTGAATAAGGTTATATTATGACTCAAGGTGGTTCCGTGTTGAGATGATATGAGGTTTTCGACTTGCATGTAACGTGCTTGCCTTTTATGGGTTGAGAAAGGTTTGATGCCGTGCTAGGGTCAGTTCATATTCGTATTCCAAGATGAGTGACCGCCAGGGACCGAGTGGCTCAGGCCAAAAGGGAGACAAAGATGAAAAATTTACCCGGACCCCATCACAACCAATGCCCACTGGTTCCAGATCAAGGTATGATTGTAATACAAATTTGATATACTCTATTACTCAGATTATATTTGCAATTGTATGTCATTAAAATACACAATGAAACTTAGAAAGAGTTCTTACCTATTTCTGTTTTTTTATGATGAAACATATTTTGTTATTACCAGAATCACAAAACATGAACAATTTAAACCTATAGCACTTTATGGTTATGCTTTTTAAACCTTTTTTAAGCTTGGAAATTTAAAAACAAAAAATTATTTGATGTTACAGTTACTATCCAAATGAGCCTATTCAGTTCCGAGTTAGAGGATCTACAATAACTGGTGCATCTCCTCCAAAGTTTGTGACCCTTGAGGATATAATGAAAGCAGCACACGGGATGCAGAACATGGCCCTTGCTCATGATATTGCTGTGGATCAGGACTTCAAGCTGGAACCATTTGAACCACCAGACAATAGGTATGGTTTTTAATTATTTATATGGTTAACACTTAGCCATTACAGTTAAATTGTGTTATGGTATGGATTGTATGGACTTACTAGCATCAGTTTAACACTATGCCAGTTTATAGTCACTGCAGATATGGGCACTGTTGTAATGTACTGACCAAGTGTGAACCAGGCATTGTAATATCTACTCTATACTTTTATTTATGTAGAGTAATACCATTAAGTGGTACCTGTTTCATTTTTATTTACATAAGTTCTTTGTTTCAGTTATCAAAAGCTGGTTAAGGAAACAATGCACAAAGCATACTTTGACATATTGAGGGAGCAATTGAACTCAGATCCACCTGAATATAAGCAAGCGCTTGTCTTGCTTCAAGATGTAAAGCAGGTATGTTACAAACTGAGAAAATAAATATCCTGAGGATTCAATCAGTTTCTTAAGTACAAAAGTAGTTCCGTACTTTTCGCAAAATTACAAGGGTATTAAATCTGATTAGTCAATAATTTGAACGATTAATAATTCAATGAGTCATAAAAGTTCAAACAACTTTTATAAATGATATCATTTTGTGTTGGTTTTATTGCCTAATTGTTTATAGTCATTTTCAGATGTCTTAACTTCACATGAATTGCATTGCAGAACACAATTTATTATGTTGAGTGAATACATAGAAAACCAATGACCTTGGGCTACAAATTAAAAATGAAACATAATTAAATTCTTACAGGGATTATTTTCAATACTTCTGCCACGACACAAAAGAATACGTGAAATGATTGAAGAAGTATTGGACCATGACTTTATAAAACAGCAAGCTGAGAACAATAGTCTCGACTTCCACAAGTATGCCAACTTTGTTGTGGATCTGATGGCGAAACTGGCTGCGCCCGCACGAGATGAAATGATTCAGGATATAACAAAGCTGACGGACACTGTAAGTTCCTACTTTGTTAATATTTTTTGTAAATGTTAATTTGTACTAATTTTTGTGAGGTCTGCGAAATTAACTGTATTTGACAACTATCTTATTAATATGTGTAATGATTTTTAAGTTAGAGCTTTCAATTGATGAAAATTTAAGTGACTTTGTATGAAAGAAATGTACTTCATTTAAAAATCTTGAAATTTCGATATAAATTATTTGAATTCATATTTATACCAATAAGTACTAATAAAGTCCACATACCTCAAAAATGGCTTGTCAAAGAAAATAAATCTATGGACTTAAATTCGACATGCACATAATAATCAAAGTGTTACTATATTTATGTATGTATGGATTGTGTGTAAGAAGTGCATTCAGATATGACGACTGAGATCTACAGAAGAGTCTACATTGTGCTGCCTTTTTGTTGATTTTGTTAACTGTACAATTTCAGGTAGATATATTCCGATCGATTCTCGAGACATTAGAAATATTAAAGCTGGACTTGGCAAACACATTGATAGCTATGATCCGACCGCACGTGCAGCAAGAGAGTGTGCAGTATGAACGATCTAAGTTTGACGAACTGCTAAAAGTTTCTGAAGGTAAATTATTTTAAAATGTTTTTACTTTTTTTTTAAATTTAATGGTAATTTATGTGCCAGTCATATACATTCACAAAAGTAAAAAAAGGTTTTTGTGTTAAAAAAAAACTCTATTGTTTTTTGCAGTCAAACTGTTAATTGTTTACGTTTCTATCTATTTCTGTTATAATATTATTCACATTGTAATATTCATACTTCGTTTTATTCACAGATGGGCTTCAATATACAAGAGAATGGTTACAAAGGCATATAGACAAGACGGGTCTGACTATACCGGTGACTGATGCTATAGTCATAAGAAATGTTACCGCACAGACTTTAGCTAAAGCATATTTAGAACTTTTGGAGTGGGACAGAACTAAAAATTATCCAGAGGTATGTCAGTACAAAGTTTTATTTTAATTTATTGAGGGTTTAATTTAAAAAGTGAAAGTGTAGAACAGTAACTTAAGACTTAAAACTACCATACTAATTTCCTAATTTCCTGTTTCTATTTTTTTTTGCTTGTTAAATAAGAGTTGCAGCATATTGCTAGTTTTAAATAAAACATTTCAAAAATATAAGTACTTCATAGGGTTCTATTACATTGAACAACCTTTATATTTAATTTTCTATGATTATAATAAACAGAAAAACTTCTCTAGTTGCCTGAAAACTTTTCAGTTTCATTATAATCTCTACTTTAGTACCACAAAGACATACTGTAACAGTGACAGTGGCAGTTGACAGTTAAGACGGCACATAAAGAGAAGACTGCACATGTACACTAAACATATAAATAATTACTACTATTATACTATTATTATAAGACTAAGAAAGAAACACTACTACATTTTCATATATTTTCCCAGACGGTGTCACTAGATGTATCACGATTTACGGAACTAGGTATACAGGTGTACAAACTGATCTGTACAGCGTCCATACTATTAGTGAGTCCGTCGTGTGGTAATGATCCCTCCATAGCTACACAGAAGCAACAACTTAAAGAGAAAATTATCATTATACTGGATAATACATCAAATGATATGTAAGTATTCAATCCTGAGATAAAAAAGTACAATTATATATTTATCTAATACTGACTGTGTCCCGCGACTTCTGTGTGGTATTAGAACCACAACAGTGAGTTGACTATGTTCTATGCCTATTTTTTTATAATATAAGGTGGCAAATGAGCAAGCGGCCACCTGAATCCACCGAAATGGAAAGCGACCGCTGCCATAAACATCCGCAATTGTAGATGCGTTGCCTACCTTTCATTGACGGAGGAGGAGACGCTCCTAAAGAGGAAATTTCACCTTCCCATGCATTTCCTCCACCATCAAATCCACTTTTCCTTCCCACCCTCGCCTCTTAAGAAAAGGGTGGAAAGGGAAAGGGACTAAAATTAGGCCTCCAACACCACACTCATCAGACGAAACACGGAATTGCTTCCACTTCACGCCTGTTTTCTGTGTGGTCGTGGTATTGCACCGGTCGAGCCGGCCCATTTGTGCGAAGATGTTAAAGCGGGCTCTACTACTGTTAACTATCTATATATACTATCAAGATCCATTTAGTAGTTTAGGCTACAAACTCTAACAAACCATCTATCCATCAAAACTCAAAAACTTAAAAACTACCACGCCGATTTAAAAAATAGGGAGTTTTGTTATAATTGAGCAACATAGGCTCCATTTTTTATTGGAAAAAAGGATGAGGTGTAAAAAAATATTGCAGGCTAACTACTAACTTACTCTTTGTAAGAAACTTTACTACTTACTTACTCTTTTTAAGAAACTTTACTACTTACTTACTCTTTGTAAAAAACTTTACTACTTACTTACTCTTTGAAAATCGACTCTTAATTATACCTCAAATTTGTATAACTCAACAATAAACACTCATAGCCATACAAATAAACGCGGTATGAAATTACAAATATTAGTTCAAATTTTGCTTATACTCTTATTCCTAAGTTTAACTTTATACCGCGTTTATTTGTAAGGTTGTCAAGCTATAGGTTATATCTATGTATAGAACTATTCCCCTGTATTAGTACTATTTTACAATATTGCGAGGGAAATAATAAATTCAAATTACTATCAATGTGTTTTTAATTTATTAATTACAGTGAACTAAAAGCGATATTGCCATCTGTGGCTGAAGAAATCATATTGTTCACGGAGAATCTTCTAGAAGGATTGAATCAAGCGGCCCTCAGCAGTGATACTAAAGAACTTATACAATCACAGATATTATCACTTTCCGACCCTGAGCATAGAGTTAGACAGATCGTCCGTAAGTAATTTGCTAATATATTGTATTTGGCATGAAAAAAACATTATTTATACTATAATAATGAAAAAAAAACACACATTTATTATGTAGGATGTCAGCAAAGAATGTTTTTAGACTAGACTATATATTTTCACGCCATTAAACTTAGGGGGTGACTAAATTGGAAAACTGGTATGTACTATTCAGGAAGTAAGTTTGTATTACGGATGAAGCCGCACGGGTGTAGCTAGTTATGTGAATTTACGATATAATTAAAAAAAAATCAACATGCGAAATTAATATTTTAGGCATTAATTTGTCGTCGATATCCATTAATCTATGACGATCGGAGATGTCACATCACAAAATTTCAAACTGGCAGCTGTCAAAATTTGGCTTTTCTTTTATTTTTAAGGTCAAAGAATGTTTGAGTTTCTGAAAGAGATACTGGTGTGCGGCGGCGGGTCGCGACAGATACCAGTGGGTCTGTCCGCCTTCACGCAGGAGTTGACCTCGGTGTCCGGCACTTTACTACGCTACGTCATGCACAATAAGGCCGTATTCACCACATATTACCTCGATATCGTCGCTGAGGAATTAAGTAAGAATTAAGCTTTTTTTTATTTAATTTAACTAACTTAAGTTGTACTTGGATTTATATGTTAATAACCTCCAGATTAACCCGAAAAAATGAGTAATTTGATGGCACTTTTGATTAATTTTGGCTTAATTGTGGAATAATTATATATGCAAAAAAATATTAAGCTTTAAATTACTTTAATAAATTGATAACTGTCAGGTTATTTAGGAATCAGCGACATTTTTAATCAAATTAAATTTAGGCGGCAAACATTTTTATAAATGTTGCCTTTAACATGAAAAAGAATGGATGTCGCTAATTTCTTATAAAAAAAAATATTTTGTATTTCACTACCAACTGTATTATGCATTTTAGTTTTGTGCTATTTTAATATTTACAATTTTTTTCTTATCAATAATGAGATGTAAATTAAATTTCTTTATATTGTACTTTGGGACTATAAAATTGGAATAATCTGTTGTAATATTGGATGAAAAATTGTTTTTTTAATAAGCTTATTTATATCAATTTATCAATCGCTAAGATGTTAAATTTGTTTCAAATTTACACAACTGTAAAGCAAAGTTCTTACTTGCGTTTTTTCTTCGCGCGGAAAAACGCAAGTTATACTTTAAAAAACAATAGTAGTGTTAAATACATTTTATAGCATTTAGTTTAGTTTTAATTACTAAAATAGAAATGTTAACACATAGACAAGATTATGTTAAAATAGTTAAAATTTTATATTGGAATAATATTTTGATATTAAGTTAATTGACATTTTTATGAAATATCTAAATTATTGTAGTTTTTCTATCATGTTTACGATTATTAATAGTAAAAAGTTTAATGTAATGAATAATTTTCAAATGTATACTCAAAGTGTTTTAAAAATAGATTGTTTTAATATACAACGAGACACTTTTTTATAAGTTTAGTGTCAAAACCGAGGATAATATTTTTACTTTTGTAAAAAATAACATTTTTAAACACTAATAAAATTACCACTACATATTATATTTTATTTTTCCTGTATGCATACATCATATAAATGTATGAAAGACGACGTCTTTACTGTAATATACTTTCCGTATTTTTTTTGTACTTAGTACCAGTACTTATACAGCTGCATTTCAGAAATAAATCAATGTAAAAATGTCAATCATTATATTCATATTCAATTTTACATAATTCATGAAGTTAATTTTATATTATTCAATTTACGAAGCTTGAATAAATGATAAGTGACGTCATCTAGTCCGAGCCGCTGCGCTTCGAAGACGCACTCGATGCTGAACCGCTACGAGAACCCTGCAATTATTCAAAAAATAATTATATTAGGATTTAAAAAAGAAACTAATGTAAGTGGCCAATGTGTTCTTTCGTCTAATATCCTCTTTCAAACAATTTTTCTACACTTTTTATATGTCAAGGTGGCAAATGGGCAAACAGCCACCTGAATTCGCCAAAACGGCGTAGTGACCGCTGCCCATAGACAATTGCGGATGTAACGATATTTCTCCTACTAATAAGCCTCAACCCCGACAAAGCCAAATTTTTAAACAATCTTTCATACTTTGTTACCACATACCTGTCTGGATCCACTTGCCGATCGACTTCTAGATCTTTCTGACCCGCTACCAGATCCAGAGTTCCTTCTCGAGCTGGCTTTAGAAGATGCTTTAGATCCTGAGCCTTTAGAAGACGCTCGTGATGATGCTCGAGAAGATCTGCGGCTGGCGCGAGAGGAGGCGCGGGAACTCGCCTTTGAACTGGCTCTGGAACCCTGAATAACATATATTGTGAATGAAAACTTCACTAACACAGTCATTATAGTACTTACGTCTTATTGTAATTTTCAAAATTTCTAACTTCTTTCGAAATTCTCCCATTGAGAATAAAAAACAAATTATATGCTAGATCTTTAAAAATTATAAAAATGGCAACATTAACGCGTTCGATTTTATACTCCTGTAGAATTGTACGTATTGTATTTTCATTTTGTATTTGTCTGGTAAATTAAAAAAAAAATTTGCCGGTCCCTCATTAGTCAAAATATGATGCTTTCAATGTTATTGTTAGTTCTCTAGTCTAAGGGAGTGCCTTTAATATGAGAATTCTATACTTTACTGTAAAATTACATTAACCAGTCCCAATCAATATATACAATTCCGTGTGTTCATTTCTGTCAGTTTTAACTGAATATAATTCAGTCAAAATAGAGCATATTTATCTTGGGCTGGTTATGTAGTCATTTTATTAGTAAATTTACTGAAGTATCTTTAACTTAGTTTGCGTTATTTACTGAGGAGTTTTAACCATACAAAGTAATGACTACAGACTACTTTAAATAGTTTTATCGGTTTAACAAATTGTACATAGTTTCATTCACATAGCCTGGAAGATATACAGATAAAATCAATAGATGTAATTATTTTTTTTAAAGATAATATTACCTTGCCGCTAACTTTTGAACTTGCTCTAGAACCGCGTCCACTCGCTGAACTGGCTCTAGAAGCTTTGCCGCTTTTAGAGCTGGCGCGTGAAGATGCCCGAGATGATGCCCTGGATCCAGACCTAGCTGATCCCGACCTGATTATAAGGCAAACAAAAAAATAGATTAAAAGTCAGAACTAACGGCTTTGCCAAAGGGAATGTGCTGTTCCTGTCGTAAAGTATGGAATAATAGCTACTTTCCATTACATAAAAATTACTTTGAAATAATAGTTGTTCCCCCTTAGACATACATAGATTATTGGCTTAATAAAATTAAATTAGAAAAAACAATAACCAATTTTTATCTTCACTAGTTCATAAAAACTTTATGCAATTTAAGTGATACATAACACATTAAGTTTCACAAACTGATCTATAAAATTCACATTATTGTCACTGTATTTTGTAATACCATTTTGACGTTTGGAACCATAGAGGTCACTTTATGGACATTCAAATATTTTTACAAATACATATAAAAACTTACCTAGCAGAACCAGACTGTGCAGACCCTGATCTAGATCTAGACTTCCTAGATCCAGAAGCAGACCGCGAGCGGCTTCTAGATTTAGACTTCGACTTGGATCTTGATCTTGACTTTTCACGGGAACCGGACCTCGATCTGTTAGATTCCTTAGAATGTTCCGAACCTTGAGGCGATTTCGAACCAGATTTAGAACGGGAACGAGACCTATAAATACAATCTACTTAATATAAAAGCGAAAGTTTGGATGGATGTTCATCACCCTACAGAACAGCTTTGTAGATCATGATGTAATTTGGCACAGGGCTAGAATTATTCAACAGTGGTAGAGCCCGCTTTAACATCTTCGCACTGCAGGGCTGGCTCACCCAGTGTAATACCGCGACCACACAGAAAACAGGCGTGAAGTGGAAGCAATTCCGCGTTTCGTCTGATGAGTGTAGTGCCAGAGGCTTAATTTTAGTCCCTTTCCCTTTCCACCCTTTTTTTAAGAGAAGAGGGTGAAAAGGAAAAGTAGATTTGACGATGGAGGAGACGCATAGAAAGGGAAAATGTCCTCTTTATGTGTGTCTCCTCCGTCAATTAATGGTAGGCAACGCATCTGTAATTGCGGATGTCTATGGGCAGAGGTCGCTTTCCATTTCGGTGCATTCAGGTGTCCGCTTGCTCGTTTGCCACCTCATATTATAAAAAAAAAATATAGATTCTATACATTTTGACCCAAGGACAATTTTTTTATGTTTCCAATATTCCCATTGGTTGTGATTTTCATTACTTTTTCTTCAATATTTGGTATTTTTACCTTTCTTTTTCTTCATTTTGATCCTGTTTGTCATCTTCCTCATCTTCGTCATCCTCCTCTTCTTCATCTTCTTCCTGTTAAAATATGAATTTAACATTATTTATCTGTCATCTTAAATGCTAAAGTTTACAAAAATGTATGTCTACACTGGTCTGGATGAAGTTCAGGTAAAAAAAATGTTAAGTAGCCACTTAACATTTTTTTTACACCGCCTCACCGAGCCTCACTCATCTCACAGAGTTGTGAGCAAAATCTGTTTAATTATTCCAGAATGGTTTCTAGCAATTTAAAGAAAATAAATTCGATTTAGAAGATTTATTCCACTTCTTGGTGCCTGTAAATCATCACTAGTATACAAAGTTCAAACTACAATAAATTATACCTGCGCTGGTTCCAACTGTTTCTCTCTCAGTCTCAGCATCCGATGTTCAGCCGCACTCAACGGTCTGTGTGTGACCACAAGACGTGTCAGAGCCTGTGCAGCCACGCCCGCTCTCGCGCGACGCTTAGACAACCGTACTCGAGTCTCTAGCTCATTGTAATACACACAATGATTGCGGACAACCTACAAAATAAAATATAAACGTAGATAGTATATTAATGGAGCTAATTATTTCTGTTATTTTTCAATAAATTTCAATTTCAATTATAACCTAAAGGTAGTATTGCACTATATAATGGCTTATAGACAAATTCTGAAATGAAACATGTAATAGGATTTCAATAAAACAATGTTTAAACTCCACATGAATTCTTCAACGAAAATATTGACATCAGATTGTAAGCATACTTTTTAGTTATTGAAATATAAGTATAAATTTGTGGTATTTCCTTTTCTTTTAATTCAACACCGAAAATACCGATACTGGCTGAGGCAACAGGGGTGTGTTCTCAAACCGGAGATTGACGACAAAGGGATCTTTTTAGGATTGAAAACAACTAGATATCCTTCTTATATACTTGGATTTCTTACTTTTTCTTTAGTCCAATTGTGTGTTACATGTAATTTTTTTGTTACTGGTGTAAAAAGGTGACAACACTCATAAGTTTGTCAGGAAAATTTATTGTCACCATATTGTAAATTTGAGAAATAAAGATAAAAGCACTCAACTGTAAGTGTGACATTTCCACAAGCTACTTAACTTACCAAGAAATAATTTTCTTCATAACCTTTAGAAGCTTTACTTTTGACATTCCAGTTGTATTCTCTTGCCATTTTATATTCATATGTATCACCGTCCATATACGGTATGCCTTCTGTGACATCTCGGCGACGTTTCTGTATAGTGTCTTCAGTCGGAAGACAGTACGCTACAAACTGTTCACCACTTTCGTCCATCACACCACTAAAATAAAAGTATGACACTTTAGTCAAATAAAGGCTGGCATTTAGGTAGAGCAACAGCCCATGGTGCAAGAAGTGTAAATCTCGCCCAAGGCACTATTTGGCTGTTGAAATAAATCAATTCTAGCATAATTTATGGAGTAGTAGAATAAAACCATGAGTAAATTCATATTGTTGCCTCTGGTCCATCATTGCAGATATAAAGTGATAATTATAAACAATAGTAGGGAAAAATTCCAATAAACATGTATAACTTTAGCAGAATCTTACCGAATCATAGCTTGGGACATAGCTTCAATCTGTCCAGCAATATTCTTGTCAGAGGGTGCAGGGTCTGTATCAAAGATGACTTGAGCACATGGGTACTTCCACATATCAAAGTCAGGAAACATTGACATAACCTCCACAGGGGTCACACCAGGTTTACTGTAATGCTTCTCTATAGGCTTCTTGTTATCTTCAAATGTTTTCTCAATGGCCTTAATCTGACTATCTCTGTCCATGTACAATGTCTCTTCGCTGAATATTTTTTTAACATTATAACCAACTTTGGCTTCAACCTGTAAGACAAATATTTTAAATGATAAGTTCTTTAATGGTTTGCCTTGTTGATTGATGAGCTACATGGGTTATTTCTATTAAATTCAGTTGTAGTTGAAATAGTGAATTTGACAATGTTACCTTTTCCATAGATTGTGGTTGAAATCTTGTCTGTTCAGTTGAAATGTACTCGGAGCGACGCAACCAGGACACGTTTTTAGCATGATGACGAGATCTCTTTGAATCCTGAGGTGTGAGAACATCGTCTTCTAGAAGCTTTTCATCAGCAACATCCAAAGTAGCATTGCCATCTCCTTGATATATGTCTCGATTTATTAAATCTATGTGCACTCCTAAATCGTGTTCAGTTAACACTTCATAGCGATAGTTTTTCTCTAAAGATGTCGGATTATACTGAATGAATCGAGTAGAAGGAAATGGATACGTAATAAATTTCAAATCGAAGGGTATATCGGGCAGAGTATTGCAATATTTTACCCGTGTAACTAATTCAGATCTGAAAGTATGAAACAAAAATGTTTGAGAAATACCTATTTATAATTTTAATACTTTATCGTAACTCGTATACACTAACCTTCTTTCACCTGTCCTCTGGGGACGTTTTTCGCGCTCGGGTTCGTTAGTTTGAACAGTTGGCGGCATCTTTATTTATTTTTGTAACAATTAAAACATTTTAAATTGAAATCAAAGTTGTTTGATTACGAAGAAATTAATTATATATGTTTGAACACATCCACATTCCAACACACAAATTGAAAACCAAAAACTAAACAATTTTTGACTTTGACACTTGAGCTTGACACCAAAGTAGACATAGACAAAGACAATTAGACATTTTTGTTAGATTTTGGCGTGGTTACTAGAACTTTAAGCCATACAAGACGATATAGATAAAGCTATCAAAGCAATATTTGGTATCACTTAATCTATTCTCCCAACAAAAGATTGAACACAAGATACAACACGGGTTCTAGTTTTTGTGAATATTAATGTTACTACAGTTATGTTTGAGGTTTGAAACAAATGTTCTTTCATGGTGCTTTTACAGAATCCCCGCATCTTCACGCCGGAAACAATCCTACTTGATAATCTTTGCATTCGTTATTAAAAAGAAATTTCTGACATGTTTACAAATGACCAATGCTAAAAGATTTTTCGACAATTTGTGAGTGTTGATTAATATTGAATCCGTGTGGTATTGAAATAGCAATGTAAGTAAAATATTATTTTTTGTGATAAAACAACTACATTTTCTTTCATCAATTAGTACAGTAAAAGGGTTGTTGGTTTGATAATAATTGGTGATAGTATGTTAATTAAAAGTAACTTGAGTATAGTTTATTATAAAATATAAAAATCGTAATTTTAAATAAATTTCAAATTAGCCCCTTTTTTAATATGGCAATTTATCTTGTCCGGAAACGTTTTTATTGCAACTTCGCTTGGTGGCACTTTAGTGGTTCAATTTCATTCGCTGCTGATATTGCGCCGCCATCTTTCTTTTCTTACAATTGTCGGCTAAGAGGTACGTTGCTATTGCCACAAATCTGTTAAAATAAGGTATCTTAAAAATTAAAAATCAATTATATTTTTATGTCAAATATGTAGGAATACGAAATTATAAGTGAATTTATCTAAACTGTCGTTTTGCCATAGAAAATTATTCGACCATGTGGTTGCTGCCGAAATGATTTTGCGAACAACTGCGCATAATGTTTTTATGAAAAAATCCGATTTATTCCATGAATGACGAAATTCTTGGATGATTTAGTGAATTAAATATAGTTTTATTACGTTTTGTTCGAGAAAAAGGAATTGTCAAGTTCCTTATTCAAACCCGGTGTGTGCTACTTCCACCAACGTGGCGCGAAGAAGTAAAAGATATACTTTTTTTAGATACAATATGGGTACTGTGGAACGTGCTGGTGATGCTACTTCTGAAATGGAGTCAGGAGAAGAGGAGATCGTTGGCGGCGGCGAACTTGCCCAACACCTGATGCAAAGGTAAGAGATTGAAACTGTTGCCATGATAACTCTTTCTTGTTTCTTTACGTTTAAAAATCAATTATATTTCTCTTAAAATCAGGATTCTAGAGACTGTTGATATTTCTATATAAAACGTTTGTATGACAAGAAACACGTGTATACTCCAATGCCGGTGCCAATTGAGGGCAAATGCTCCACTCACAAGGCCGTTAAAAACTATAAATTGTATAACGTAGAATATTTATACAATTTTATATAATTTAGCATTAGAACCTGACAATATTTTAATACAATCTGTTACTCATAGTAGTAGTCTTATATATTATTTTACAACCTTTAAAGCATGAGAAACATCAACAAACTAAATACATGTATTATTTTCATCTACAGATAAAATTGCATTTTATCGCAAAATCCATAGATATGGATACGCTCTAGATAGAGCGCGCAAAATATCGCTCAAAGGTCTTAAATTAACTAAAAAACCATCCCCTATAATAATAAACCGCATTTTTGTCACGTTAAAAATTCATACAGTAAAGTAACCTCAAACTCATTTTGGTAACCTTAATGTCTAACGCATCGAAAATAAAACTTATACCAAGATTTTCTACTAGCTTATTCACAGCTTGATAGTGGCTATTGTAATCCTTTTTGTTCGCATCCAGCCAAGTCTGAGATCTGACCGTTTTACAAGGTCATCGCTCCATCCGAGGGAGGGCGCCGAAGTTACTAAGCAGTTTGTGCGAATTCGTCTGAAGTGTCTTATCCATGCTTTTATAAACGCGATGCATCTAAATTATGAATTTTCGGAATGATTAATCGCGATTGATGAATTTTATGTCCTATTTTATTTTAGCGAAAATTGCACTTGCGTAAGGTAAAATGTCAATTAGATAAATAGTGACTATTAGTTTAAGAGCTGGCGCACACCTTTGACTAAACTATCACATAACTGTTATGCGATTGTTTCGCCGCTAATTCAACTATTGTTGCACAACTAAAAATCGAGTGTGTGCGCGCGCACCTCCATATAAGGTTATAGGAATCAAAGCGCGACGAAACAGTTGTGTGATAGTTTAGTCAAAGGTGTGCGCACGCATTAAGAATTGAATTCGTAATAACGCAACGGATGTCTTACGCAAGAAATTAATTTCTAGAGATTCTAAGATCTCTATGATTCACTGAATACCTTAAGGTTACTCATACTTGCTCTAGTTTCTTTCGCTTCCTAGTAAACGTGAATACGAAGAAGCAATTTTTATTACGTAGATAAATTTAGTTTGATATTACGTTTACTGTAGTCGATTTAAGGCGGTGTTGTTTTTTGTAGTCATGGGTCTTAGTTACAAGTTTATGACTTTATACATGGAAAAAGTATTTTATGGCAAATGGCCTGGTTCATGTTATGCCAGTACAGTTCGACAGTAACACTCAAAACAGCGCTGGCGTACAATTGGCATAATAGTCGCTAACAGGCGCCAGTGAGTCTAATCAATTCATGCCAGGCCAGCGGAACGTTCCGACTTTACTGGCACAATGTGAGCAGGCATTAAACTAACGAAAACATGAAAAAGTTATTGCTTTATTCTCGGACATTAATGTTCAGCAAAAGATAGTCTTACTTTTTCATTAATTGCAAGTACGTATAAGCCGAAGCCTACCTGACTTTAAATGATCAGCTCATAAATATGTACAACGGGTTTCCGACTTTAAGAAAGGTTTATGCTCCTTTCATGAAGGACATAAGACATAAGTTGCGTTCGTGTTTTATTTATGAATCAAAAATTATTTGGTATCGAATACAGCAATGAACTAAGAAATTTTTGGCCTGCGTACCGATATAAGCTGTAATTAAAGCCCATTTAATGCATTAGTTGCAAAAATAAATAAAAAAACTGCTTCGCGCAACCTCATGTCTGTCGATTGCAATTTAAAAATTGCTTAGTCTATGGTCTATTAAGACATGATTTAAAGAAGTCGTCATATTTTTGATACTTCATATCAAAGCACGTGGTCACCCTAATTGATTTTTGCTATAAGAACTTGATTCTGTCTCGAGTTCTCGAGATTACGGGTCATTGGACCAATGAGTCACGCTCTACTTGGTGTACAATAGCCCTGACATATCATACGATACCGATGTCTTGAATTCTATTCCGCGCTTAAGCGTAACGAAGTCACGCAAAAAACTAATCATTACTCGCAGTGTCTAATACTAGAATGTCCGTATCCTAGACGTTAGTCATTTCAAATCAAATACATTTTTTTGCTTATTCCAGTAAGTCTAAAATTAGATTCTTGACTGAATTTAGTAAGCATGTAGAGACATTATTTAGTAATCAAAAACATCACTATAAGTTCTCAAATGTTACACTATCAAAATCAGTTGGTTCTACTACAAGCTACGTTTACATACGTCAGATATATTTGTATACATTACCGCGTTGTGATGTTGCGTTTACGATCTCACGATTAGACAAAAATATATTTAGAGAACCTTGATATACTAGTTACATGACCTACATACATTTAAACATCTTCCTGTAACTTGGATATTTCTCTAATCTTGTTTGTAAACATTTCTATTTTCTAAGGATAAAGTAACCAAAAACTATCTTTTCTATCATCACTGCGTAAGTCATTTGCTAAAGTAACATTGCCACTACAGTCCTTTAATAGTCACATTGTGATTTCTCATAGTATTTTAAAGAAGCTTGCTGGTGTCTTTACAGTCCTGATGGTTGAAGCATGCATAGAGTAAAGGAGAGTTACTCGTTTGTCATATGTACATTTATAATCTCTTATACCTATGAGGCAAGATTGAATATTTGTAAATGTTTTGCGCAGTGGCCTGACCCGCACGGAGATGTTAGCTGCGATAACGAACCGCATCCACGCGGAGACGCTAGCGTCGCTGCCGCCTAACGTGCGCCGGCGCATCCGCGCGCTGCGCTCCCTGCAGAAGGACTTTGTCGACATCGAGGCAAAGTTCTACAGCGAAGTGCACGCCCTCGAGTGCAAATACGAAAAACTTTATAAACCACTCTTCGAAAAGGTATACATTTCTACTTTTCACGCGTTTTCAATGTAAATGTTGTTGTTGTAAAACTAACTAACAAACACAACAATCCAGTAGTCCATGTTAATTTAACATTGAATCTAGGATCTCCACAATGATTAACATGTGATGTGAGTCACATAGTTGTAAGTTTAGTTTAAATTGACTATTAAATTTTGGATTACAACTCCAAAGCTTGATTGAACAAAATTGTCCACTTCCTTCTTAAGGAATATTTGGTTTAATTGGGTCTATACATGCCATCTAGTTTAGGAATGACAAATTGCTTTCAAGAGTTCAAAATTATATATAAACCAATTTGCTAATAAAAGCAGTTGGCTTATATTATCGTCAGCAGCATTAGATATAAAAAAAATAATTAATTTCAATTCAAAGAAGCTAATTTAGATTCATTTGTAACAAAATATATTCCTCTAGCCCCATAATAGAGTTTAAGAAGGAAGATGATGACCATTAATGTAGACTTAAAAACATTTGTAGCGAGCACAAATAGTGAACGGTCATTACGAGCCGACGGACGAGGAATGCCAGAACCCCTGGCGCGATGACTCTGAGGAGGAGGAGCTGGCACGCGCCGTGCAGAACGCCAGCCTCACGGAGGGCGAGGACAAGAAGGAGGGCAACGAGAATAAACCCGCAGAGTAAGTATTACACACGCATACTCAACTCTGGTAAATCTGTCTAAATGTTTAATTTTGACTCAGAATCTGTAGAGGACTTAGTGAATTTAATTTTTAATTTACTAAAATAAATTCAATATGAGTCTATAATTAGTAAATTTTTGGTGATAGAGAAACTCACTTAAACCGGTAACCATTAAATTTATCCGAGGGTCCTGGTATCTCAAACAGAAGAGACAGCAGTAGTATTTGTTTGTAGTATTTTTTTTTCATTTACAATTTGAATCTACTGAACATTATCTGTCTTTAAAGACAAAATTGTAATTTTATTCATAAGGAGTATAGAATTTTTTTAATTAGGAACTGTATTTGTAAATGATGACATAATACACCAAATTACTGAGAATCATGATTGATTTCTTTTAACATGCATCACCAACTGAGGAATTCACATTATTGCGTTATATAATCCCACCGTGAAAATTATTGACCTCCAACATGTTGTTACAGACCCCCAATGGACCCCAATGTAAAGGGCATCCCCGACTTCTGGTACACAATATTTAAAAATGTGGCCATGCTCAGTGAAATGATGCAAGAGCATGATGAACCCATCATCAAATGCCTGCAAGATATCAGAGGTATGTTTCAAATATACAATTATAAATACTTTAACACTTTGAAATTCCCTATATACATATTTTTTTTATTACTGGAATAGATCAAACTGGTCCACAAATACATAACTTAGATTCTAATTAGTAAAATTGCAACCAATATCTCATACCTTTTGTTTCAAAAGATTGCTACAAAATTACTGCATTTCCAACAGTATGAGGCCTCTTTTATTGGTTTTATTTCTGTTAGTTTAGAAAGTAGTATTGTTATATGTATAGTTTAGTTAGAAAATAGTATATATGTACTGGTCTTAAAAAAAATGTTTGGTTGCAGTGCAAATGCATGAGGATCCGTTTGGCTTCACTCTGGAGTTCCACTTTGCACCTAACGAATTCTTCACCAACACGATCCTCACAAAGGAGTACTCCATGAAGTGCAAACCTGATGACGACAACCCCTTGGAGTTTGAGGGACCTGAGATCTACTCTTGCAAGGTAATACTCTAAATAATTTAACTTACTAATATTATAAATGCCAAAGTTTGATGGATGGATGTTTGTTAGAGTTTGTAGCCTAAATGGCTGAATGAAACTAGATGTAGAGCATAGTTAGAAAAACACAGGCTACTTTGTTTTGTTATTTAATTCCACGCAAATGGAGTCGCGAGCGAAATCTTAACCATATTTCTTGGTACCTAATTTCCTTATGTTCATACATAAATAAATGTGTACAAGACAAGTATTTTGATATTTGACTTGTTGATCTGTTTTGACTATTATTAATTGAATAAACATTTAATATCATCATATATAGTGTTTGAATTCAATAAAATAACAATGTTATGTGGGAATTTTGAACTCTTCACAAACGCTGTAGCTTCACTTTATTTAGAATTCACACTGGTACTGTAGAATAAATTCACAGAGAAAAACCAAGTCTAACCAAGAATATTAAAATACCGATATGGGGTGTTTCTGTTGTCTTCTTATTCGCATTGTAAGGTGTATAAAGATGTTATATTCTGCAAATAGGAAGGATATATTCCTGGTCCGGGGAAAACTTTTGCTTACTATGCCATTGCTCGCTCGCTTTTGTCAAATAAATACTAATATGCTGTAATGTACAGGGTTGCGAGATAAACTGGAAGAAGGGCAAGAACGTGACGGTGAAGACAATAAAGAAGAAGCAGAAGCACAAGTCGCGTGGCTCCGTGCGCATCGTCACCAAGTCGGTGCAGGCTGACTCCTTCTTCAACTTCTTCTCTCCCCCGGCCGTGCCAGAGGACCCCGACTCCGATATACAGGTATACTTGCTGACTATAGTCTCAAAATATATTTTAAAGAAGCATAGTTGACACTTCGTTCAAATATTTTTCACATAATCTAACTAGTGCTATCTGACAAATAGTTCAAACACGAAAAAGCGTCTCCGCTTGTCATTTTATATTGACATTTATTGTAATGATACCAGTGAAAATGTTGTTTCCTATTTCAAGTGGATATATTTTAAATGTATTGCTGACAAATATTTTTAACGTTCGAAACATAGTATGAAGCACAGCTCAAAACAAAATAGGTTTGGGTAAGAGCACTGCAGCCCACTTATGACTTTGAACCTATTGACTTTGCTAAAACTCACATTACATATCTCACATTCACCCATAATAAATATATTTAATTTAATTATTCTACGCATGAAAAGTATTTAATTCCAAGTAGAGGGGAAAGGAAATGTTCCCGCCATATTCGCTTCTAATACAATACCTTCATACTTTCATATTAATGAATTGTATAATTATGGCCCAAAATGTTATGTTGCGTGATATTGGTTAGCCCCACATGGTTGGGCGACCGCCCAGGGCGCTGGACAGAAAGAGGCGTTAGTTATCAAATTACAGTCATAATCCTGTTGAAAAACACATCAAAACAGAGAGGCATAGAGACGCCCAGGGCGTCTTATAAGTGTCGCCCAGGGCCCTACTATTATTAACACCATTTATCTGTAACAAAATAATGTTTCCAGAACCTGTTAACGGCTGACTTTGAGATCGGCCACTACATCCGCGAGCGCGTGGTGTCCCGCGCCGTCCTCATCTACACCGGGGAGGGACTCGACGATGACGACGACGACTACGAGGAGGAGGTAGGCCCTCACCTCCCACTCCACCCCCACCTCCCAGATCTCCCTCACGTCCCATACTGCACTGACCTTGTACTGTACTCGCTGATAGGAGGTACACGTTGACTAGATTAGGAGGAGGTTGTCACTCAGTTTGTTTAGTAATTGTCTATTATTGCAATGTAGTTTCAAACTACCAATAATTTAAAAGTGATTTGCAAAAAGGGTTTTTTGCAAGTGTAACAAAAATTAATTTTGTGTAATACAATACAAGCTCAGTCAGTAATACGCAACAGGGGTGTCCAAACTGCGGCCCGCAAGCTAATAATTTAATTTTAAATGGCTTTTGTAAAAGTAACCATTTTTACGTCGATATATTTGGACACCTCTGAACTTTTATACCTATTTTATTGTATTTAACATTAATTAGTAAATGATGTCGTAAGTTAACTAGCGTTTAATACCGCGCATGTTTTGCTTAATGTTAGTGAATTCTACAGCCATCTCGTTGAGTCCGTCGGCTTACTGCATGGTAGATATCTGCAGCTTATTGTCCCCAATCATCCAATCAGACGATGGTAAATGTATTCGTGTTTATTAATATCATTGAATATTAAAAAGAAGAACAGTATGCGTTTTTTTCATACAAGCAGATTCAACTCCCGCGACCGTGTATATTTAAAAATAATAAAATGGGCAAGTAATTCATAGGAAAAATAATTATACGAAAAATAAACCGGTTTTAGGGCGGGGCGTAGATGGGCTATCGCCCAGGGCGGCTCAAGTCACTCGACAGAGGGGCACCAAAGTCAGCTAAATTAGTTTCGCATTAGCCTGTTAACGCCCTAATATCATCTCGATAAAAGGGCGTCGTAGAAATCTCGCCCAGGGCGGAAAGTTGCACAAAAAACTGGGGTAAATTATGCTTTTGTGTATTGTTCTTCTTTAATTTGTTTGTAATGGTGCGTCATAACAGCGAGTGTTGTGAATATCAAGGTCTGGTTGGATCCCCATTGGCTGCACCAACAAAAGCGGTATATTTGGTTTCAGGAGGATTCTTATTCCGACGAAGATTCCGGCACGGAGGAGGTTTCCGACGCCGAGGATTGATGCCACCGTCCCTAGTGATACCACACGCCTATCCCTCCACCTCCACTTAGGTCTACTTAGACCCCTTTGACCTAAGTTCAGAGGAATATTTATGCACACAAAATTATCGTGCCGATTTTTAAACCGCTAAAGTCATATCAATGTTCATATCCTGAATGCGATGTACCAAAAAGGATTTTCTTTAGGCGTTATGATAATACTCCGAGGCAGGTCGGGAACCGAGTTCCTCTTTCCTAGTTAGTTAACGCGTCGTCAAATTTATTAAATTGATAGTATTTTTGCGCTAGATAGGTTAGGATTTTCTCGCATTTATATACTTTATACTTCTATGCATGATTTATCAAAGGAATAGATAAATATGTTTTAGAGTAAGCCTCGCGGCGGAGCGGAGCGAGAACAAATGGTGCCTTATGTAATGCATGTTAGACATTCAACACTATACTGCATTTCTAGAATAGTTATATACAATTCTCGTTTCTATTTATTATATACATAAATAATTGTAATAGCGTGTATTTTGTTTACGAGTTTTACATACGTTGTTTGTGTACTAGAAATTTCATGTGATATTAATGTTCTCTAAGGCTATTTAAATGTTTTACTGAGACTGCATTCCAACGTCGACAACCAGCGAATCTCTGCTAGTGCCAAAATGCATTTTATATCCGTCGATAACTGAACACTGTGATCTTGTCTCCTTAACGATACACGACACTGCGCTACGAAGATATATTTTTCTAAATATCACATATATGAGACCGTTTTAATTTTGTTAAAACAATATATGAAAAATTAAAACATTTGATCTAGTTTCACATGTCTGTTTTCGAATTTTATAAAAATATCTCTATTCTAAATACGGTAAACTAATGTAGGCTATATTTTAATGTTTTGTGAAACCGGTTTCAAGTGTTTTTCTTTTAAATGTATTGTATATTTTTGTTTAATGTTATCTTCTATTGAAGTCTGCATAATGGTCAGCTGTTGCGGCTGCTACTGTAGTGTTACGTACATGGTTATGGCTTAATGTTTTGGCATGATGTCCCAGTGACGACATTAAAATTGTATGCTTTTTATCCAAGTGTGTTTTATTTTTTTTACATCTTACGTTTACCTTGTTTGCATGCATTAGTTACTGTGTCGAGGAGCGCGGATGGTTGCAGAATTCACGTTTTTTGTCGGGAAGAAATGTACGGAGTGATGGCGTTTTTGTGAATTTAATTGTGAATTTGAACAGGAGGAGGAAGAATGCTCGTCTGAAGAGAGCGACGACGAGGAGCCCGCGCCTCGCCGCCGCGGCAAGAAGGGGGGCAAGGGGGCGGCGCAAGACGCGCCCGCCGAGTGCAAGCAGCAGTAGACAACGCGCCCTCGCCCACACCCCCTCGTGCGCCCACACGCGCCCAGCGCAGTCCCTCGAATCAATGCTTTGTTTCTTTGCTGGCTACATTCGAACGCCGGCCGTCCACATTTTAAACAAATATATTTTTCTATCCTCCGAAAAAAAAATTAAAACGTAGTCACATTCCTTGTCTAGGTTAAAGTGAAAATTTCCGCCTTCAATCGTATTTTGTTCTATAATTATTTTTGCTATACGAAGGTGCTATTCTGTATCCATTTGAAACGGTCGGTTTCTTTAGTTTTATAAACGCCACGTTGGGACTTTAACTGTCTATAAGACTGTATGGTTAATTACGATGTAATCCATTCACAATTTTTTAAATTTAGCGTCGCTACTTATAAATATTTAGTGATAAAGTTCTCTTGTAACATCGAGTATGCTCTGAGGTTGCTCTTCGCAAATGCAACCCGAACGTGTATTTGTACACATTTTTAAAAAATTAAACTTAAACATTAAATTATTCTTCTTGTTTATAATTTTATACCTCACTGATAATATCTAATTATATATAGCTAAGTAAATGTAGTTTAAGAATAATCATTAAGGCGATGTCAAGCAAGTTGCTGTCTCAAGGTCTAAGTTAGGCCTTTGAAGTAAATTAAGGCATTGAAATGGTACGTATTTTAAATATTTCTAGTATTTTAAATCTATGCTAAATACGTAACCATTTGTTTTCTTTTTCAGTTTTAAATTAACCAAAACAGTGATTACGGTCAAGAAAAAATCATGTTTTGGAATAGAAAGAAAATTTGCACTTTTTTAATGGAAATCTTTCCAAGGTTAGTTTTGTATTAAATTTATCCCATGATTAAACAATTCCCATTAAATGATGACATAATACACCAAGTTACTGAGAATCATGATTGATTTGTTTAACATGCATCACCAACTGAGGCATTTTAATTTAGTATATTATAAATTTGGGAAACTTCAGTAGATAAATCTTATTTTTCGTTTACAGACCTGAAAATTTCCGATTCGCCTGTTGGACTTTCAAAATAAATTTGCAATCGTCTTTTAAGGTGAGTTTTCCCTTTATTTATAGGCATGTTTAAAAAGTACTGTAAAATTGTAATTTTTCTAGTTAGGAATTAAATTTGCATTCAATAAGGACTTTGTAAATGATGACATAATACACCAAATTACTGAGAAACATGATTGATTTCTTTTAACATGCATCACCAACTGAGGCGCATATTTAGGTTAAAACAGATTTTTTGTTTATTGTAGATTTTTAATTAAGTTTTTTTTTTGTTTAGGTTCTCGAGGTCCGTTGATGAAAAATTGCTTTGGATGTGAAAAGATTGTTTCAAGAAAAAATATCTAATTATTTTTATTTAAATAAATGTTTGTTGAGAACATTGTGTTTTATTATAAAATAATGGCGAAATGGGAGCACAAAATAATACACAACATATACGATGACCAATTTATTAACATTTCAAAGTAACATCTGTCTTTTCATAACACAGCGGTCAGATCTCTAAAATATACATTTCGCAAAAACGTACTAATAAAATCAGCCCATTGTACTGTTTTTAAGTACGACCAACTTAAGTAAATGTGAAAATAATTATACGATAAGTTCTATTAAAAATTTCTTAGCTGTAGAGCATGATGTGGCTGTACCACTGATTTCATTCCATAAAAAAAATACAGTTACATAAAATTGGGAACAAAGCCACAATATTCGTAATAAAGTATATTGGTGTATTGTCCAATAATACTAGGTCATATAAAACTGCAAGGAACTTAGCATTTAGTGGTTCCACTACGTTTTCAGTCTGACGATCATTTAGCACCAAATTGTCTTAAAATTACTCTAACACACAACTAAAGGGCAATCTATATCGCTATCATAAATACACGAAAATAGGGAATGATGCGATATGGTGTTTTGTAATGAACATTTCGTCGATCAATAAATTATCCTAACATTCGAAGGACACAACCATTTCTACACGTTTGGCAGAAAAATCTAACACGTTCAATGCCGACTCGCTGAGAGCCCAGAAAAAGTATACGGCATAAGAAACAAAATTTAGTGGCACGGAACGTGTTAATTATATAAACTCTATAAATACATGTAAATTTATAGAATAATTCACATAAATATCTATCATTGCTCATATTTATTAAATTATTTACCAAATCACACCATACAAAATTTTATAAAACAAATTCATATTAAAATTTTCCTAGCACTTGACATGGAGACTTTCAAAAACTGCATCAATACTGATGTAATAAAGGTAAAAAAAGCAAACATTTGTCTTTTTAACTTTCATTATTGCGATAATTCATCTTTTTATTTACTACTTCATTTAAAAAATATTGTACACAAAATCTCTTAATAGTGGATTTGAACGAAGTCAGGCTGTAAAATCTCACGGACTGTTAATACATCGCTTACAAAACATTACGATTTAAAAGTTCAGAGGAAGATTAAAAGATAAATACTAAATATTGCATTTCAATACTTTATCGTACACTCCGAAAAAATAGAAACCACATAAAAGTTACTTTTATTTAAAATTAGTGTTTAATATTTTCGCACCAGTTTTTTTTATAAAACATACTATATTCAATATATGAATATTTAATCCAAAAAACAATAATTCTCCAAATATATTCATAAAAAATATCCTATCATACTAAACTCACATTCTTTGAGATTTCAATAAAATTGGAGAAATATCAATCGATTTAATATTGGATAAAATTGACAACTATTAAATAAAAATTTTAAGTACTAAAAAAATAAAAACCTTTATTAAATTATGCGTAATCAAATACAGGTGTGCAAAAACAAACGTGCGAAAAAAATAATATCAGACATTGGCTGAAGGAAAACTTTGAGCTACTTACATTTTATATACAGTCAATAAATAAAATGACGTAATCGACAATTTTCTATATCATGTTTCGATATTAGGGATGGCCGATGTAAAAATATCGATACGAACATCGACGTCGACAAAAGTGATCTATTCGTAAAATAAATCAACTAAACCGAAGGTAATCTCGTTGTATTATCAAATTATTGCTTTCTATTCAAAAATATTTCAATATAAAATTAGATTGCTTGATTTAAATGAAAATAAATTCGTCGACATCGATGCGAACTTAATATCGATATTCACCGATTATCCCTTATACGATAACCGACGTAATAAAAGTTTGCGTGTAAACTGCGCGAGGCAGGGACATAAATCTCGTACATTCTGTTCCTGTCACGCGGGAGTCTTGCTTTTCTTCCCAAACGGGAGATGGATGCGTCTCTTCCTTGGCTTAGGAAGTCCCTCATCGTCCATCAAAGAGGAATCTGTAGACTCCTCTTCGGGGGGTGTATTACTAGATTGTGTGGCGGAATCCTGGTTATTTTCTAGGAGTGGTTTCTGTTTAGTAAAAGTGTTCCTAGGCGGTGGTCTGGGGTCGTCGGGATTGGCGACT